TAAAGTTTCATTTCGAAATCAAATTTGTTTGACCGATTTTTACAAAACATACGTTCTTTTAGAAAAATATTTTCCACATTAAAATCACAAAATTTTAATATAAAATGACGCATGTTTTGTAAAAATCGGTCAAACAAATTTTATTTCGAAATGAACGTTTTTCAAGTGGACGTTCTTCTCCATTAACGTTCGTATGACAGATTCTGGATGCAATTTAGGACGACAATTTATTGATAAAATGTCAATTTTTAAAACAAAATATTTTATTGGCGTACGTTCAGAAATTCAAAATTTGAATTTTAAATATTAAAATAACTCATGTTTTGTAAAAATCGGTCAAACAAATTTTATTTCGAAATGAACGTTTTTCAAGTGGACGTTCTTCTCCATTAACGTTCGTATGACAGATTCTGGATGCAATTTAGGACGACAATTTATTGATAAAATGTCAATTTTTAAAACAAAATATTTTATTGGCGTACGTTTAGAAATTCAAAATTTGAATTTTAACGGGAAAATAATGTACTTTTTCTGAACACAAAAAAAGACCCCTGGAATTAATGTTTTTAAATCTGATAAACTACAGCTTATTAAAATGTAAATTCACCATAAATAATTTCAATCCATTGATCCTTCAATCATAAACCTAAATAATATTTTTTTACCTCGAAAAAGTATCCCATTCAACTCAATCCAGGATGGAAATTTAATTTCAAAAAAGCAAAAATTATTTTTCCCTTTTTTCTCACTTCCACTTCATCTTTTCCTATTATTCACTCGAAGGGGTTCATAAGCACTTTTCCTCACCTCCTTAATCAAAATGGAAATGCAAGCTGCTGTGTTGTCGAAAGTGAGAGGATTTTTAAATGCCTTTCGACGTCAATAACGGAAAGCAATAATGACGATCGTAAATTTTTTATATTTCATTCCTTCCATTTCTGCTCCTTTCTTTGAAATTAATGACGAATAATTTTTCAATAAATTTCAGTTTGCAATTTGTCCATGTGTAGTCATTGAAAAGTTTATATTCATTTTTCTTCTTCTTCTTCTTTTATATTTATGCAGTTCAACATTGCTCCTTGTATCGTCTCAAATCTAAATTGAATTTTTTTTTTCTTCTTCATTTGCAAATCGGATAGAAAGGATTTAAAATGAGTCGGAGGAAAAAAAGTCATGGCAGTGTTTCGGAGAGTGAAATATGACGCACTTAGTGCTATGAACATGCAGTTCAAGTGATAAAGTTTCATTTTTCTATTAAGATTGAAAGTTTAAAGTAATGAAATTTTTTATTACATTATGGTTCGTTGACAAATGATGTCCATTAAAACTTGTGTGGGTTCACACAGATTTTTGTATCAAAAAATTTTATTTTTTTATTTCCATTCCAAACTTTTTACACTCCTAAGGCAACCCTCCTGTTAATGTCCTCTTAACCTTCTAGCGGTTAGACGTCATAACTATATGACCCACTTAGTGTAGCATGAAAATATAAGACGACTTAAAGTCTGTCGTAATAGAGAAAATGGTCAATTTTTAAAGCTTTGTGCTAGTTTAAGGGGTGCATGGCATGGATGTTATGAAGTTTGAAGTTTTTTTTATCTAAAAAAGTTATCAGCAATAAAATGATTTGATGTGCATTTATCTGGGCAATAAAATAAATTTGTTATGATTTTTTATGTTTTGTTAACATAAAGTAAAAGAATGGATTGAGTATTTTCCTTCATTGATCATACTTTTTGTAGATCAAACAAATTTTTGAAAACTTTAGGTGTCTTTTTTGACTTCAAAACTTGATTTTTGTTTTAAAATTCAGTGATCGAATTGGATTTTTTCAGCTTCAATCAATTTTTGATTAATTTTGGAGTTTTTTGCGTTTTTTGGTAGAAAAACAATTTACCGAATTTACCACTCATTTCAAGTATTTTAACAGAACTTTACATGCGTTTTTATGATTCTGTGTAATATTGTGTAATATTGTGTAATGCTGTGGCAGCATGTAGCTATAGTTCGTTCAGAGTTTAAAGTCAGCCGATGCTAAGCTGATATTAAAGTTGATCAGAAACCAAAACCTAATTGAATGCTAATTGAGATTTGAACTTGGAAAATTTGTCAAATTTTTTATAAATTTATGAACTTTAATTTCATTTTTGAAATTGTATTGACAATATCCACTTCGTTTCAATTAAAGACAATATGACAATATCAGCAATCAGAACGAATAACTCCCAGAACAATACCTTCCAAAAAATGGCATTCAGAATGAAAATAGAGTGAAAAAAAATCTTCTTTCTGTGAATAAATTTAACAAAAAAATTAGCATTTATCTCTTAATTTACATTATCTATGTAGCACACGAAAAATGTGAAAGCATCCTTACTCTCTTTTTCTCTTTTCTTTCCCACTGTCATCCTGGACAGGAACGAGCAACATAAAAAGTACAAAAAAATTGTTCTAAAGTAACAATAAAGTTTTTCCTTCCCTTTAGCTTCCCAGAATAAAAAAAACTAATGCCAGCGATTTTAAATAAGGTATTATGACATGAAATAGAAAAAGTTTTTTTTTGCTATTCTGCTTTGAATTAATAAATTTGAAATGTTTGATATTCATAACCCTTTTCATATTTCATTTAGTTGATATCTCTTCACCCAGTTTCTCTCTCTCTCTCTCTCTCTCTCTCTCTCTCTCTCTCTCTCTTTTTTTTTTTTTTTTTTTTTTTTTTTTTTTTATTCACATTTCTATGATATTCCATCTCGTATGTTGTCATTGTTGCTAACGAGATGGATGTATGTTGGATAAGTGAAAAATATGTAAAATGGAAATAGAAGTGAGGATGATGTGAAAATCATGAAAATGTAAAATATGGGAATGAAATGAATGTGACAAAAAAAATCCTTTTTTTGGATTTGAAATGTTTTGATTTAATTTTTTTAAGGTGAGGATTTTTTTCGAGTACGAGAGGACATTTGATGTAGTTTTGACCAAATATCCGTGTTCAATGTTATTGATTGCTGGATGAAGATTTTTGACATAGGGATGGGGGCTGAAAATTCCCGATCATAATACACGTCATTTATTAACGACAACTTAGCAAAAAGTAATTTTATTATCGCATGGTGCTGTTCCAGAATAGGTTCAATAATGTTTTAAGATCAATATTTGTGTCATTTTGCGACTCTTTAAGCAAGCTCACCTCAAGAGCGCTCTTTTACTAAGCATTGAGCCATTATAGAACATCAAACTTAGATAGTGATTTTAATAAAATAATTTCTTGACTTACAGATAAAAAAGCATGGAGAGGGTTCAGCCTTTCGAGCTGGAGTCACTGCGATTCAAATTAGAACAGAATCTGTTGTACCACATCCTATAGACCAACAGTTTGTAGTGAAATTCAAACCACTTACAAGCTCTGCATATTGCAAAGACACGAGTACGTCTAAACTGATGTACCTGTTACAATGAACCTAGTCACAATTCGTGGGCGAAGGTGCTGTAATGAAACCTTTCCAGATGCTTGTAAAAATGGCAAAGGAGACACATTATGTGCCGAAGACCTCATAACTACACCCAACACACGAACCGAGCTTGGTAACCGACTTACAGCCAATTAATTATATAATTAGAGTTAAATACGCATTGTCGTATGATGAGCTGACGGCAAAATAACGGTCAAGCTTATTATTCACCAAAAGAGTATTATTGCTTTAACTGTTTGAATTCCATTTAAATAGAAAAATGCTTCCGCATCTTCAGCTAATTTTGTATTACACAACTTTATAATGCAAGCGTTAATTAAGTTTTATGGTATAAAGATCTTTGTGTCTTTCTTATATTATTGTTTTTTGCAGACGTCTATCAATGATTCACAAACTCTTTTAATATTTTTTTCATAAATAAATCCCATAAAATACGCTTCATTCGCAATTATGACGTCAACAACTTTTATACTCATTTAAAATTTAAATTCATCATATCATATCAAATTTTTTATGCAGAAATGTTTTCAAATGAGTTTTGATATTAAAAATGTATGTTGGCTATTAGGAATTCTCTTTGATCAGTTAAATGCGAGAGAGAAAAGAGCTTATTTCCTTTGAAAAGTTTATAAGAAATCTATTTCTATTAGCTAGATTTTAAGTTGTATTTTATTGCTACAAATTCTATAGTAAAATGACCTTATTTTGAGAAATATTGAAACTTTTGGTTTACAACTGGTCTCAAAATCTGAATCTGGGATGTTTTTGTCATAGTTTTTAAAATTTAAAGTTTCGTCTGCATAAACATCATCCAACAATAAAGATTGATTATGTCTTAAACTCATAAAAGAAGTATTATGATCAGAGTTGCGATGCAGGTCGCCTGTCACAGGCGCAGATCTGTTAAATCTGTGGGCAGATTTGACAGATTTGTGCCTTTGACAGGCAAAAAAATTGCGTTTCACAGGCACAGCCTGTTAACAGGTAAGTTACAGGTGATTGCCTGTGACAGATCGCAACTCTGACTATGATAGCTTAAAATTCAATTAAAATAATTAACTCTAGTCAAAAAACTATCAAAACTACAATGATGCACCTCAATATTATTACACCTTTAAGCTGAATATTCAAATAGTTCCATAACTAGAATAGCCTAGTAATTTACTGAGAACAAGATTCAGCCTCAGAATATAATAAAAAAAAAGTATTGGAAATAACTTCAAGTTTTAATAACCCTTCAAGTGACTTTCATCCAGTTTCTATAGCTTCCAAAAAATCCCAATCTAGCATTTTGATGCACACAAAAAAAAATCCAATAAACAAGAAGTCCAATATATCTAGCAGCGAAATCACAATGAAGAAACTTGTTTTGTCTGCAACTAAACTTCTTCCGTCTATAAAAAAAAATTGCTTTGGACAAAGAACATGTTTTTGAAATTGTATTCAGAGCATATGCGAAATCTTCTTTAAGCTCAGTATTAATTAGGACGTTTATCAGAATAGTCGAATATTTAGTGTTAAGTCTAGAATAAATCCAAAGACAATGGTGATTAAAGTTTTATCAATTTTACTAATAATAAAATCAATGGAAAGTGAAGTGGACTCACAAGGATTTTTTAATAATCATGTCCTGTTGTTCCAAAGTCCGAGGATCAGAAGTCGAATTGACGAAAAAGTTCAACATAAATATTCTGAAAGATCAAACTTTTTCTGTGATTTACGGTACGGTGCAAGATCTCATACAGTTCCAAAAGATATTCATAAACTGACACCTGGCGATATTGACGTAGTTGCTGCACTTGGTGACTCACTGACTGTTGGACTCAATGCAAATGCAAGAAATTTATTCCATATTGGAAGTGAGGATCGAGGAGTGTCATGGAGTATTGGTGGACAGGACACATGGAGGCAAATTCTGACACTTCCAAATATTTTAAAAGCTTACAATCCAAAGCTTTATGGATATTCATTAAATGACTCACCAAAAGGAACTTCTGGATTCAATTTTGCTGTGACTAGTTCCATGAGTTCTCAGACAGTCAATCAAGCCAAACATTTAGTAACAAGAATGATAAACGATAGAAACGTGGATGTCCAGAAGCAATGGAAGTTGATCACTTATATGACTGGCGCTAATGACTTTTGTAGTGGAATATGCAGGCAGCATGATACAAACGTGATACTCAATAATGCCGCAAGAGATTTAATTACTACTTTAAGAATTTTAAAAGCTTATTTACCAAGAACCTTAGTCAATGTTGTTTTCCCGCCAAATGTGAACATTCTTACGAAACTTAAAAATGCTCCTCTTAAGTGCGGAATAATCCATACATTCGCATGTCCCTGCTTATTTAATCCAACATATGCATCGCAAAGAGAACGCATACTTAGAACAATTAAGTTATGGAAAGAAAGGATTGTGGAGGTGGTTCAGCTGCCTGAATTTCATGATTCTGAGGTAAATTGTGTGTGATTGTCTAAACTTTTTAGTGCCCGATGAATTATTTCTGAAGGTGAATTACAATTGCAATTGCAATGCTTAAAATTCAATGAAGGCTCAAATTTCTAAATCAATGTCATTGTCAAGGCAATGACTAGCAAAATATTTCAATATCAAATAGCTTGTAACAATAATAAGTGAACAGCTTAATGGCAAAGAGTCAATGACCGCAATGATGCATGATATTTTAATTTATGTACGATTTGCAAGGAACCAATTTTGTACTCAAACAGCACAAGTCGGATAATCTAGACAAAATCCTATGCCAGGACGATGGCACAGCGTTTTTAGGGCGAATTTGTCGATGAAACTTGCCCTCAAATCATGCTAGCGTAAGATTTCGTCTCGATTATCCAAGTTGTGCTATTTGAGACAGTGTTATGTAATTCGATACGTTGGTTAATTTTAGAATATCTTGCTTAATTCAACTACAAGACAAATCAAACTGCTAATAATCACTTATTAGCATATGTTCAAAAAAAAAATGATTTAATTTTATTTGAGGATAAACACTCAAAATGCGCATTAAAAATATTCTTAAGCTGCTCAAATTTACCAATTGAATCAAATATTTAATCATCTCAATACTCGTGCGCTCTGATTTTTGAGATTAGAAAGTCTTGGAAGCTTAGATTGGAATTGGCTATTGTGCAATAAGGAATGTGCAATAAAAAGTTTTTATTCTACTTCCTACCTGCCCTCTCTCCCCCTACCCACCCCCCCCCCCCCCCCCCCCCCCAACATTACGCTGACGTTCTAAGTCAGCATCCATTATAGAATCTCAAAGCTTAATCCTCAAGAAAACAAATCACATTCTCGTAAACAAAGTTAATTGACCTTCCCTCACTTTCAGGAATTCGAGGTCAACGTCCATCCATTCTTAGACAAAGCTGATCTACCAAGACTTCAGAATGGAAACACAGATATGAGCTATTTATCACCAGACTGCTTCCATTTCACCCCAAAAGGTCATGCTCTATTAACAAATGCTCTTTGGAATTCTATGTTGACCCCAGAGAATCATCGATCACGTTCTTTACGAAAAGAATTTGAAGACTTCAAATGTCCAACTGCATCATTGCCGTATTTAGCTACATCCAAAAATATTTGGCAAAATTAATGCCGCAAATAAATAAACAACCGAAAATAAACAAAATACAAAAAACTCGATATTCGCAGTCAAGCTCAAGGTCGTCAGCATTTGCCGAAGCCGTTACTACTAGATAGTGTATATGACGTTAGATGATTAAGCCTGTGACATTGTACAATGGATTCACATAAATTTTTGAATAAAATTTTAGAGGCGTTTCCGATTTAGTTTTTAAGGAAGCTCGCTAGTGATAAATTTTTGATATGCATAAAAAAACAGCTATAAATAGTATACAGTTTGTTGACATCTTTTTTTCGGAAGTAGAATTTGCGGATATATCATTGAAACTCTGTTTTTTGAGTTCCTTATGACTCAGGAAATTGACGAAAAATGCTCGCATAATTTAGAAATATGATAACAGTTCCTGACTACATCCATCACTAATGAATTTCCATTAATTCACCTATTAAAACATTTTTCATGCGTAGCACATATTTGCGATTATTAATGGAACCTCTTATCATTTCCGAGCATTCTCCCCTTTTTTCTATCCCCTCGAAAAAAAAGGGAATCTTATGTTTGTTGTATTAAACAATCTGTAAGCTGCACGGCAAAACAGAGTGAAAAAAAAATTTCATTTATTCCACAATATCCACATTAGCATTCATAAGTGTGCAATAATAAATCATTGCCGACTTCCTCCACATATTTTCTCCCTGTTCTATCTGTTTTTACTTTTTAGCAAGCGATATAATGCAACTTGAGTAAGAACTCATAATTTCCTCATTTCCAGCTCTATTTCAGTGTACAACGGTTTGATGAATCTTTTCATGGTTATTTTAAACAGTGGAATTGAATTGAATGAGTAAGTGGGACGGGGAGTCTAAACGATGTACATTTGTATGCTGTAGACTTCCTTTATTTCACATTATAAATATGTTTTACAGGGTTGATTAAAATTGGAGATTAGGATTAAAGAACTGAAAGTGAATTTTGAAATTATGAAGTTTAAAGAATTGACAAGAATTTAAATCTCTTGAAACCGTTAAAATTTGAAAAATGTAAAGTTCAAAAGGGTTTAAAAATTCAAAATTTTACGGCTTAAAACAGTTCAAATTTTTAACGTCTTAAAAGAATTCAAATTTTTAACGTCTCAAAAGAATTCAAATTTTTAAATGATTAAAAAAGGTTTTTAAAGTTTTTAAAAATTTGAATTTTTTAAGACGAAATAATTTGAATTTTTTGAAGCCGTTAAAAATTTAAATTTTTTTAAGCCGTTTGAACTTTACATTTCAAAAAAATTAAAGTCAAATTTTAAAAAAATTTGTTATAAATTCAAGTTTTAAGTTTTTTTGTAAATTGAAAACTATAAAAGTTTTAAATATTTAAATTTTTAAAATTAAATCCCAACTCTGAATCTCTTTAAAAAATCTTTTCATTTTAAAGCACTTTGCGATTATTTCCAACAAAAAACTCAACGAAAACCGCAAAAGCATCGCGTAAATATAAATAACATTTCAACATGAATAATTCCCTATCTTCCTTACTCACCATACAATAAGTATGTTTATATTTGCACATGTTTCCTCACACACCACGCATCATTATAATCACCAAGCTATTTTTCATTTATGAAATATTGCTCTGTGAGCTGTCAAAGTATTTTAAAAATATTTTTTAACTCTCGTGAATATTTTGTCGTTGTTAAGCGGTGGCTTTTAAATACCTATTTTTTGGATAGGGGGTTCAAAAGTGACGATTTTGACATGCTTTGTTTTATGGCTCTTATGTAGGGTGACCATCTGCGTAGTTTTACAACGGACAGTCCTGTATTTCAAAACCCTGTCCTGTATAAATTTGAAAACTTTGTTCCAGGTCCTGTATTTTTTTCACGAAAATTTCCGTTAATTTTCAAATTTTCCTTTGTGTCCTGTATGTTTTAGGAAATTTATCAAATGTCCTGTATTTTCATAAAAATTAGATGGTCACCCTACTCTTATGGGATCATCGATAGATAAATTGACAATTTGATTTAAATTATTCGAATTTTTTTGATATTATGACATTCACATTTATTTTTAACACTATAATGATTTATTTAAAAGTAAACAATTTTTAAACTAGTAAAGAGGTAATCACATGTGATCGACAGAAGAGCCTTTTCCCAGCACAGAATTCAAGTAGAAAATGAAATCCAAAAACTTAAAACTTTTGAAAAATAACGGTCAAAAAATATTTGAAAGGTAAATTAAGGAACATTCAGTACAAACTAAATTTTACAATATCCGCAATTGCACGTATTCGAGTGATAAAAGTGAGCATTTTAAAAAGATAATATTTTTTTATGAAAGATTTCCTCTCTTAATGGAATTTTAATATCGCATCTTGTCTGAATGAACGAGAAATAATCGTCTTTATTTACGTTTTTTAGCTTTAAAGTGCTCTACAGTATGGATGCGATAATCTTAAATTTTATTTTAATATCAGGATGAGTTTTTTGGATTATCATGTTTTGAGATGTTGAAATCTTTTTACTAGGAACCATCAAATAAATTTCACATCCAGAAAATATACGAAAAGCATCTCCTTTTCTAGCATACAGCATTAAATTTGTTTTTAAAAAATAATTTTTTTTCCCTAGAAAATGTGAAAAGTTTCAAGAGCTGCAGATGATGCTTAGCATCTAACAAATTACACATTTAATATGTGGATAGAAAGCTTTAGACATAGATAAATAAATTGAATTAAATTTCACATTCATATATGAATAATTTAATTTATAATGAGCAATCATTTTTCTTTAGTAAACATTTGTGCAGGTTTAAAAGGAAGTCTTTGGAGTGATGAGGGTAAAATGGATGATGTCTTTTAAAGTATTGAAAAGGGAAAGTTTTTAAAATCAATTTTCTCCATTACAGTGATTTGAAAAATTCAAGATTTTTTTTTATATATTTTGTGTTGTTTGAGAAGAAACCAAATGTTATTTTTTATAAATCGAATGTATAGATTGTTTTGGGGTTGAGTTGGATAGTCATAATCATGGTAGGTATGAATTTCTGGATATTCAAATTGACAGGTCATTTTTAACTGGGAAAAGGAGGTAATGGGATAGAATTTAAGGTATTATTCATCATCATATCCAACACAGGATTGCACAGAACAATGAATAAAAAATTTAATTGATTTTTCAGAAATTTGAAATTTCCTGGACTATTTTACGAGTTTGTTTGCAAAACAAAAATCATGTTCGAAAAACATCAAAAATACTTTTTAGCGCATTTTTGAAAACTTGTTTTCGAAAAGGAAGCTTAATAATGCACTTTGTTCGTTCGTTCGTCTGCTCGGCTGGGTACGCATAAAAACTTTTTAACCAGACATCGTAGAGAGCTCAGTTTGTTTTATTAACTCCGTTACTATTGTTTATTGTCGGATCGAACAATTGAAAGTCTTGAAACAGTGTATTTATGCTTTAAATTTTATTTTACCTCTATAATTTCAACATTACCTCTATAATTTCAAATTTTTTCTAGTCGTTGTAAAATTTCAAATTTTTTAAAAAACCGTTAAATGATAAACCCTTTCTGTATAAGTATTCATTATAATTTTTTGTTAATTAAACTAAAATTAATGATCTTTTAATCTTCTAATGATCTGTAAATGAACACAAAATAATTAGATAATCAAATACTGATCGCTTCGTCAAAAATGCGCTGAAGTCCCTCGATCAATAACACGAGGACTTTTGTAATTTTTTTGTTATATTCACACCGTTTTCACGTGTGAATCTATTGGTTTTGTTCAGATTGAAAAATCAGTTTTTCGCATTTTGTGAGAAAACAAAGCAAAATTGGTTATAAAAGGGCAAGAAGAAAAATTTGTGCCTGAAATTTTACATCATTTTCAAAAAACAGATTTCAAATTGGTTGTGGCATTGCTGAGAAAATCGCAAAATACGCTTTCTGTAAGCAAACAAGCAAGCAAGCAAGCAAGTTAATCAGCAAAAAATCTCAATAACGAGACATTGTAGAGACTTCTAGTTTTTTACATTTGATCCGTGCTGCTCTATAGAAGAGCTGTATTGTTTTTGGGCAAGGTAAGAACAGCCGTTGCTTCAGAAATGGCAAAAAACTTTCCTTTCTTACGAATTTTTTTAAAACAAAAGTTGACTGTGATTTTTATAAAATTCAACTTTGAATGAAAAATTTTTTTTAAAAACTTTTAAAGAATGTTCGTTAAGCTTTAGACCTTCAAACTTATGATGAGCGAAGCTCAGCTCTCTCGCTAGCTTTATATCTTCAAACTTATGCTGAGCGAAGCTCAGTTGACTTATCAAGCTTCATACTGCTTAATACCTTCATACTTATGCTGGGAAAATCTTGGTCTATCCATTAGACTTTTGATGGTACGGTGTGAATATAATCCGCATTGGGTTTCTGCCCGATACACTAGTTCTGACAGGTTTTATTTTAAGCTTTTCTTCAAAAGAGCTCAAGTTTGAAAGAACTTACAAAATATTACGTTTGAATTTTGTACGAATCACTTTAATTATTTGCTGAACATTTTCAATAAATTTGTGGCCATCAGTTTGTTTAAGTAACCCTGTATACCTGAATAATCAGAATAATTTCGAAATTTTGAGATTATAAACAATCAAATCTCTTAAATGTTCTAAAACCATTGGAAACCTTCTTGGGGCTTGTAGACACGGTTAAACAGCATCAGAACTGCCATTATTTTAAAGTTCTAGTTAATTTAATAGGACTTTGAGCATCAGAATTTTAATTTTGCGTCCTTTTTATGTTTAAGTCTTTACATTTTTCTTAGCAAAATGTGTAAACAAATATTATGATTATATTTATAAATCTAATTTTGTTAAGGGCAATTTACAATTATTTGAATGACTTTTGAAAAATTTCAGGAAAGAATCGAAAATTTATTATTTTGCCCATTAGAGGTTAACATATCTACTTCTAAACATTTGAACAAAACTGTGATTTTTAAACAGTTGAATGAATGAAGCGAAACAAAATGGAATTACGGCTCTATTTTCTTTAAACATTCGAGCGAATTTCGAACATAATTTTATATGGAATAGCTAACATCTTTAGATCAGTTGAACTCACCTAAACCCACCTTGATTTTATTTTTCAAACAATTTGGAATAATATATTTTTAAAAAGAAAACATTCAACCAATATTTATGTTTTCTTCATATTTAAGTTTTTGGAATAATGAAATTGACAAATTAATAAGTGGGATTT